ATTTCGTAGATCTTATTGAGAAACACGTGATTGTCAAAGTTTGTTTCAATATGACAAAGCGTACAGGCGTGACACTCAATAATGTGAATTTTCACCTTAGGGGGGAAGAAAAACTGGACTTTTTTCTCCTGCCATGGGGGGGCGCTCTTTTGGGGAGTAAAAATTCCCTCACAAATGTGTTGATGGCTAGACATTGCATCATCCTAGAAAACTTGGAGGCCAGTGAGGACAAAAATAAAAAGTTATACGACTTTTAAGAATGTGGATTTCTGGGTTATCTTCGGCGCCCCCTAGAACGTAAACCGTGGGATGCAGCGTCATGATTTGTACAACTTTTAATGGCCATGGGGTGTAGATTGGCCTGAGCAAATTTGGTGCCGGTGGAACGAAAGCCTTCGGAGGAGTTAGCGAAATTCCAATGTGTGCGGATCGGCAAAAAATGCGAAATAGCCCTTTAACCGTACATTTGACAGATACGCCCGCACTGACTTTTTTGTAGATCTTATTGAGATACACGTGTGTGTCAAATTTTGTGTCATTTTGACAAAGCGTACAGGCGTGACACTCAATCATGTGAATTTTTCACCTTAGGGGGCGCTATGGAGCCATTTTGCATTTGATTTTTTGGGCGACTTCATAATATCGAATTTTTCACCAGGCCCGGTCGTCCTGCCAAATTTCATGACTTTTCACCAGTGGGAAGTGGGCCATTTTCCAGTTCAAAGGGGCAGAAAAATAACTAGGGCCCCGTTGGGGCACTGGCGGGCCCGAGCCGTGTCGCACCCCCCCCCCAACGCGCTGCCTCCCCGTCCCATTCGTGTCCTCTGGCCATCGCCCTCTCTGGTAACGCCCATCACTGCAAAGACCCTTTTCCTTCATCGGCGTTTGCTGTTCTTCCTGCCAGTGCGTGTTGCTTTCACTTACACTTGCCACAGCCAGCCTCGTGAGTGCCTAGCCTATTGGATATCAGTGTCACCTACACAGGACAGTCATACTTTGTTTTTTAATTTCACATTAATTTCCATATTGTATAAACGACTGGAAAAAACTTGAGCCCCTGCCCCTGTATTATCATGTGCACGTCCCTGTTCTAGCTCCAAGGTGAATCTTCACTGCTCATGTTCTCCTCAGAAGCAGTCACCTCACTCCCCTCAGGTTACTGTACACATGCACCAACTGCCTGCTTCAGGTTTGGATGGAGCTTCATGGTTGTCTTTTGGAGAAATGAGCAGTCAAGTTGTGTTTGAAATTTGATTTTTTTCAGGGGCAAAAGGAAGCCTCTGCATTCTTGTCAAATATGTAAATAGCATGTTTTTGCAGGTGCTAAAAAACAGACTCTGAGTGTGTGTGTGTGTGTGTGTGTGTGTGTGTGCGTGTGTGTGTGTGTGTGTGTGTGTGTGTGTGTATCCTGCAGTACTCTGAGAAGAATAATAAGCATATTTCTGAGGTGAATTTTGAAGATTCATCTGAGAGTTAGGTTTGATTCGATTCGATTGACGCTCCCCAGCGTTCAAGTCACATGACATATTTAACCGGATGTAGCTGCAAGACGGAGCCTCGTTAACTCTCCGTTTCAACTTATCTCAAAAGTGAGGACCTCAACCTATATACCAGTTTTTAAATTGTGTTGATAGGCCAAATAAAACCAGAGTTATGATAAATTATGTCCGCGATACTTTTTTTCTGCTTATTTTGATCACGTTCGGCGCTCGATCGCGCTGTATGAGACAGGAAAACATAGCATGCACACATTAGCGACAGGTCTTACAGGCGGAAAAGGCTTGCCAAAAGAAAAAAAAAACACAACACAACATCTCTCCTATTGGTGGAAAACTTCACCACAACAACCAATCCAAAATTATATGGTGACTGATTGACAAGGGGCGGGCGCTTACGTTCTTCCTGCAACATGAGAAGGGAGGGAGGGACTCTCAGCAGGGATGCAGTCTGGGACACGTAGTTGCAAACCTAGCGACTTTGTTGTTAGATTCAATTACTTTTCAGACCCCCTAACGACTTTTTTTAGAAAGAAAGGGACTTTTATCGACTTCTTCTGGAGTTTAGAGACTCTGACATGAAGCAGGCTTTCCTTACTGAGGAGTTAGCAACGCTGCTAAGGGTGCAGAGCCACACATGCGCTCCGAGCTCTGCATGGGAGACTGAAGCTGACAGAGCTGCAGCAGTTAGCAGGTTTCACCCTCAGAGACCACCAGGGGTTCATGTTGAGGCATTTTCAGTTTTTGTTTTTTTTGCCATAGACTGTCAGCACAATCTGCAGTTACACTAACAAAAATGCTGCAAAAAACAAAGAATTATGGAAAAATTACACATGGACTGACATAGAGGAGGATCTACACAAGTTTTTTACATCATGTTTTACATCATGCATCATTTACATCATGTTTTTTTGTAGTGGCATAAATAAAAAGTGACATTTGTGAGACTATACAGTGTTTTGTAAATAATTTTAAAAAGAACGCCTGGGCCATTGCCTGCATTTTGATGTAAATAGAGGTAAATTACTATGTTCTTTGTTAAAAATTTGCATATGTTTTGAAGTTTACAATTTTTATTTGAAGTTTAAGTTTTAAAAACAGTTCATCACACATATTTGTGTTTTAATTTCACATTAATTTCCATATTGTATAAATGACTGGAAAAAACTTGAGCCCCTGCCCCTGTATAATCATGTGCACGTCCCTGTTCTAGCTCCAAGGTGAATCTTCACTGCTCATGTTCTCCTCAGAAATAGTCACCTCACTCCCCTCAGGTTACTGTACACATGCACCAACTATCTGCTTCAGGTTTGGATGGAGCTTCATGGTTGTCTTTTGGAGAAATGAACAGTCAAGTTGTGTTTGAAATCTGATTTTTTTCAGGGGCAAAAGGAAGCCTCTGCATTCTTGTCAAATATGTAAACAGCATGTTTTTGCAGGTGCTAAAAAACAGACTCTGAGTGTGTGTGTGTGTGTGTGTGTGTGTGTGTGTGTGTGTGTGTGTGTGTGTGTGTGTGTATATATGTATGTGTATCCTGCAGTACTCTGTACTCCTGCAGTGGCCAAAAAGACTTTTAAGAATGTGGATTTTTGGGTCATCTTTGGCGCCCCCTAGAACTGCAGTACTCTGTACTCCTGCAGTGGCCAAAATGACTTTTAAGAATGTGGATTTTTGGGTCATCTTTGGTGCCCCCTAGAACGTAAACCGTGGGGTGCAGCGTCATGATTTTTACAACTTTGAATGGGCATGGGGTGTAGATTGCCCTGAGCAAATTTGGTATCGGTGGGACGAAAGCCTTAGGAGGAGATAGCCACATTCCAATGTGTGCGAATCGGCAAAAAATGCGAAATAGCCCTTTAACCGTACATTATACAGATACGCGCTTTTTGACTTTTTCGTAGATCTAATTGAGATACACGTGATTGTCAATTTTTGTGTCAATATGACAAAGCGTTCAGGCATGACACTCAACAATGTGTATTTTCATGTAAGGGGACAAGAAAAAATTGACTTTTTTCTCCTGCCATGGGGGGGCGCTCTTTTGGGGAGTAAAAATTCCTTCACAAATGTGTTGATGGCTGGACATTGCATCATCCTAGAAAACTTGGAGGGCAGTGAGGACAAAAATAAAAAGTTATAAGACTTTTAAGAATGTGGATTTTGGGTTATCTTTGGCGCCCCCTAGAACGTAAACCGTGGGGTGCAGCGTCATGATTTGTACAACTTTTAATGGCCATGGGGGGTAGATTGGCCTGCGCAAATGTGGTGCCGGTCGAACGAAAGCCTTCGGAGGAGTTAGCGAAATTCCAATGTGTGCAGATCTGCAATAAATGCAAAATAACCCATTAACCGTACATTTGACAGATACGCCCGCACTGACTTTTTTGTAGATCTTATTGAGATACATGTGTGTGTCAATTTTTGTGTCAATATGACAAAGCGTACAGCCGTCATGTGATTTTTCACCTTAGGGGGCGCTATGGAGCCATTTTGCATTTTATTGTTTGGGCGACTTCAGAATATCGAATTTTTCACCAGGCCCGGTCGTCCTGCCAAATTTCCTGAGTTTTCCCCAGTGGGAAGTGGGCCATTTTCCAGTTTAAAGCGGAGGAAAAATAATAACGAAAGAAGGAAACATGCAGGAACAAGAGGGCTCTCGCAGCTGCTTAGCAGCTACGCTCGGGCCCTAATAAGAAGAAGAAGAAGAAGAAAGAAGAATCCATCAGGAATAATAGGGCTCTCGCAGCTGCTTAGCAGCTACGCTCGGGCCCTAACTAGGGCCCCGGTGGGGCACTGTCGGGCCCGAGCCGCGTCGCGCCACCCCCAGTGCGACCGCCTCCCCCTCCCGATCGCGTCACACTCAAGGTCCAAAGATGGTGTGCGCACTTGTCTGTGGTCATTTCCCATTATAATGAATGGAGGCGCAGTTTCTACCAAAACACTCGCTGCAGACAAACTACATGTCCTATTTGAAAAAAGTCTGGACCATGAGTGAGGGCACAAACACAGCTAGGATATATCCAAATGGCAAGTTGCTCCTCCTTACGGTGTTGCTGGGAGAGCGATGCGATTGAGCCATTGACCGATGGGCAGGGTTAACTTGACTTTTTCTCCTGCCTTGGGGGGGGGGGGGGGGATGTGGATTCTTTTAAGAATGTGGATATTTGGGTCATCTTTGGCGCCCCCTAGAACGTAAACCGTGGGGAGCAGCGTCATGATTTCTACAACTTTGAATGGCCATGGGATGTAGATCGGCTTGAGCAAATTTGGTGTTGGTGGGACGAAAGCCTTAGGAGGAGTTAGCCACATTCCAATGTGTGCGAATCGGCAAAAAATGCGAAATAGCCCTTTAACCGTACATTTTACAGATACGTGCCCATTGACTTTTTCGTAGATCTTATTGAGATACACGTGTGTGTCAAATTTTGTGTCATTTTGACAAAGCGTATAGGCGTGACAGTCAACAATGTGTTTTTTCACCTTAGGGGACAAGAAAAAATGGACTCTTTTCTCCTGCCATGGGGGGGCGCTCTTTTTCGGGAGTAAAAATTCCTTTACAAATGTGTTGATGGCTGGACATTGCATCATCCTAGAGAACTTGGAGGCCAGTGAGGACAAAAATAAAAAGTTATAACACTTTTAAGAATATGGATATTTGGGTCATCTTTGGCGCCCCCTAGAACGTAAACCGTGGGGTGCAGCGTCATGATTTTTACAACTTTGAATGGCCATGGGGTGTAGATTGGCCTGAGCAAATTTGGTGTCAGTGGGACGAAAGCTGTAGGACGAGTTAGCCACATTCCAATGTGTGCGAATCAGCAAAAAATGCAAAATAGCCCTTTAACCGTACATTTTACAGATACGTGCCCATTGACTTTTTCGTAGATCTTATTGAGATACATGTGTGTGTCAATTTTTGTGTCAATATGACAAAGCGTACAGGCGTGACAGTCAACAATGTGTATTTTCACCTTAGGGGACAAGAAAAAATGGACTTTTTTCTCCTGCCATGTGGGGGCGCTCTTTTGGGGAGTAAAAATTCCTTCACAAATGTGTTGATGGCTGGACATTGCATCATCCTAGAGAACTTGGAGGCCAGTGAGGAAAAAAATAAAAAGTTATAAGACTTTTAAGAATGTGGATTTTTTGGTTATCTTTGGCGCCCCCTAGAACCTAAACCGTGGGGTGCAGCGTCATGATTTGTACAACTTTCGATGGCCATGGGGTGTAGATTGGCCTGAGCAAATGTGGTGCCGGTGGAACGAAAGCCTTCGGAGGAGTTAGCGAAATTTCAATGTGTGCGGATCGGCAAAAAATGCGCAATAACCCTTTAACCGTACATTTGACAGATACGCCCGCACTGACTTTTTTGTAGATCTTATTGAGATACATGTGTGTGTCAATTTTTGTGTCAATATGGCAAAGCGTACAGGCGTGACAGTCAACAGTGTGAATTTCCACCTTAGGGGGCGCTATGGAGCCATTTTGCATTTTATTGTTTGGGCGACTTCAGAATATCGAATTTTTCACCAGGCCCGGTCGTTCTGCCAAATTTCATGAGTTTTCGCCAGTGGGAAGTGGGCCATTTTCCAGTTTAAAGCGGAGGAAAAATAATAACTAGGGCCCCGGTGGGGCACTGTCGGGCCCGAGCCGCGTCGCGCCGCCCCCACTGCGACCGCCTCCCCCTCCCGATCGCGTCACACTCAAGGTCCAAAGATGGTGTGCGCACTTGTCTGTGGTCATTTCCCATTATAATGAATGGGAGGCGCAGTTTCTACCAAAACACTCGCTGCAGACAAACTACATGTCCTATTTGAAAAAAGTCTGGACCATGAGTGAGGGCACAAACACAGCTAGGATATATCCAAACGGCAAGTTGCTCCTCGTTACGGTGTTGCCGGGAGAGCGATGCGATTGAGCCATTGAGTGATGGGCAGGAAAATCTTGACTGTTTCTCCTGCCATGGAGGATGGGGGATGGGGGATGGGGGGGGGATGTGGATTCTTTTAAGAATGTGGATTTTTGGGTCATCTTTGGCGCCCCCTAGAACGTAAACCGTGGGGTGCAGCGTCATGATTTTTACAACTTTGAATGGCCATGGGGTGTAGATTGGCCTGAGCAAATTTGGTGTCGGTGGGACGAAAGCCTTAGGAGGAGTTAGCCACATTCCAATGTGTGCGAATCGGCAAAAAATGCAAAATAGCCCTTTAACCGTACATTTTACAGATACGCGTGCATTGACTTTTTCGTAGACGTTATTGAGACACACGTGATTGTCAAATTTTGTGTCAATATGACAAAGCGTACAGGCGTGACACTCAACAATGTGTATTTGCACCTTAGGGGACAAGAAAAAATGGACTTTTTTCTCCTGCCATGGGGGGGCGCTCTTTTGGGGAGTAAAAATTCCTTCACAAATGTGTTGATGGCTGGACATTGCATCATCCTAGAAAACTTGGAGGCCAGTGAGGACAAAAATAAAAAGTTATAAGACTTTTAAGAATGTGGATTTTTGGGTTATCTTTGGCGCCCCCTAGAACATAAACCGTGGGGTACAGCGTCATGATTTGTACAACTTTTAATGGCCATGGGGTGTAGATTGGCCTGAGCAAATTTGGTGCCGGTGGAACGAAAGCCTTCGGAGGAGTTAGCGAAATTCCAATGTGTGCGGATCGGCAAAAAATGCGAAATAGCCCTTTAACGGTACATTTGACAGATACGCCCGCACTGACTTTTTTGTAGATCTTATTGAGATACACATGTGTGTCAAATTTTGTGTCATTTTGACAAAGCGTACAGGCGTCAGGTGAGTTTTCACCATAGGGGGCGCTATGGAGCCATTTTTCATTTTTTTGTTTGGGCGACTTCAGAATATCAAATTTTTCACCAGGCCCGGTCGTCCTGCCAAATTTCCTGAGTTTTCGCCAGTGGGAAGTGGGCCATTTTCCAGTTTAAAGCGGAGGAAAAATAACGAAAGAAGAATCCATCAGGAACAAGAGGGCTCTCGCAGCTGCTTAGCAGCTACGCTCGGGCCCTAACAAAGAAGAACCTATACAGGAACAACAGGGCTCTCGCAGCTGCTTAGCAGCTACGCTCGGGCCCTAACTAGGGCCCCGTTGGGGCACTGGCGGGCCCGAGCCGTGTCGCGCCCCCCCCCCCAACGCGCTGCCTCCCCGTCCCATTCGCGTCCTCTGGCCATTGCCCTCTCTGGTAACGCCCATCACTGCAAAGACCCTTTTCCTTCATCGGCGTTTGCTGTTCTTCCTGCCAGTGTGTGTTGCTTTCACTTACACTTGCCACAGCCAGCCTTGTGAGTGCCTAGCCTATTGGATATCACTGTCATCTACACAGGGCAGTCATTACCTTCTATTAATACTTTGTTTTTTAATTTCACATTAATTTCCATATTGTATAAACGACTGGAAAAAACTTGAGCCCCTGCCCCTGTATAATCATGTGCACGTCCCTGTTCTGGTTCTAAGGTGAATCCTCACTGCTCATGTTCTCCTCAGAAGCAGTCACCTCACTCCCCTCAGGTTACTGTACACATGCAGCAACTGCATGCTTCAGGTTTGGATGGCGCTTCATGGTTGTCTTTTGGAGAAATGACCAGCCAATTTGCGTTTGACATTTGATTTTTTCAGGGGCAAGCCTCTGCATTCCTGTCTAATATGTAAATAGCATGTTTTTGCAGGTGCTAAAAAACAGACTCTGTGTGTGTATGTGTGTGTGTGTGTGTGTGTGTGTGTGTGTGTGTGTGTGTGTCTGTGTGTGTGTATCCTAAACACTAAACACTTCCACTACACAATTAATCCTTTCACGTATAACGGTCACTACAGTGGACAAATCTTCACAGGACATTTTCTATTATAAAAATAGGGGTTTGATTTTACAAATACATAGAGAGCAGTGCGTTTGAACCATTGAACGATGAACAGTAAAAACTTGACTTTATTCTCCTGCCATGGGGGGGCGCTCTTTTAACGAGAAAAAACTCCTTCACAAATGTGTTGATGGCTGGACATTGCATCATCCTAGAAAACATGGAGGCCAGTAAGGACAAAAATAAAATGTTATAACACTTTTAAGAATATGGATATTTGGGTCATCTTTGGCGCCCCCTAGAATGTAAACCGTGGGGTGCAGCATCATGATTTTTACAACTTTGAATGGCCATGGGGTGTACACTCACCGGCCACTTTATTAGGTACACCATGCTAGTAACGGGTTGGACCCCCTTTTGCCTTCAGAACTGCCTCAATTCTTCGTGGCATAGATTCAACAAGGTGCTGGAAGCATTCCTCAGAGAGCTTGCTCCATATTGACATGATGGCATCACACAGTTGCCGCAGATTTGTCGGCTGCACATCCATGATGCGAATCTCCCGTTCCACCACATCCCAAAGATGCTCTATTGGATTGAGATCTGGTGACTGTGGAGGCCATTTGAGTACAGTGAACTCATTGTCAGGTTCAAGAAACCAGTCTGAGATGATTCCAGCTTTATGACATGGCGCATTATCCTGCTGAAAGTAGCCATCAGAAGTTGGGTACATTGTGGTCATAAAGGGATGGACATGGTCAGCAAATATACTCAGGTAGGCTGTGGCGTTGCAACGATGCTCAATTGGTACCAAGGGGCCCAAAGAGTGCCAAGAAAATATTCCCCACACCATGACACCACCACCACCAGCCTGAACCGTTGATACAAGGCAGGATGGATCCATGCTTTCATGTTGTTGACGCCAAATTCTGACCCTACCATCCGAATGTCGCAGCAGAAAATCGAGACTCATCAGACCAGGCAACGTTTTTCCAATCTTCTATTGTCCAATTTCGATGAGCTTGTGCAAATTGTAGCCTCAGTTTCCTGTTCTTAGCTGAAAGGAGTGGCACCAGGCGTGGTCTTCTGCTGCTGTAGCCCATCTGCCTCAAAGTTCGACGTACTGTGCATTCAGAGATGCTCTTCTGCCTACCTTGGTTGTAACGGGTGGTTATTTGAGTCACTGTTGCCTTTCTATCAGCTCGAACCAGTCTGGCCATTCTCCTCTGACCTCTGGCATCAACAAGGCATTTCCGCCCACAGAACTGCCACTCACTGGATATTTTTTCTTTTTCGGACCATTCTCTGTAAACCCTAGAGATTGTTGTGCGTGAAAATCCCAGTAGATCAGCAGTTTCTGAAATACTCAGACCAGCCCTTCTGGCACCAACAACCATGCCACGTTCAAAGTCACTCAAATCACCTTTCTTCCCCATACTGATGCTCGGTTTGAACTGCAGGAGATTGTCTTGACCATGTCTACATGCCTAAATGCACTAAGTTGCCGCCATGTGATTGGCTGATTAGAAATTAAGTGTTAACAAGCAGTTGGACAGGTGTACCTAATAAAGTGGCCGGTGAGTGTAGATTGGCCTGAGCAAATTTGGTGTCAGTGGGACGAAAGCCTTAGGAGGAGTTAGCTACATTCCAATGTGTGCGAATCGGCAAAAAATGCGAAATAGCCCTTTAACCATACATTTTACAGATATGTGCGCGTTGACTTTTCCTAGATCTTATTGAGATACACTTGATTGTCAAATTTTGTGTCAATATGACAAAGCGTATAGGTGTGACACTTAACAATGTGTATTTTCACCTTAGGGGACAAGAAAAAATGGACTTTTTTCTCCTGCCATGGGGGGGCGCTCTTTTGAGGAGTAAAAATTCCTTCACAAATGTGTTGATGGCTGGACATTGCATCATCCTAGAAAACTTGGAGGCCAGTGAGGACAAAAATAAAAAGTTATGACTTTTAAGAATGTGGATTTTTGGGTTATCTTTGGCGCCCCCTAGAACCTAAACCGTGGAGTGCAGCGTCATGATTTGAATAACTTTTAATGGCCATGGGGTGTAGATTGGCCTGAGCAAAAATGGTGCCGGTGGAACGAAAGCCTTCGGAGGAGTTAGCGAAATTCCAATGTGTACGGATCGCCGAAAAATACGAAATAGCCCTTTAACCGTACTTTTTAAAGATACGCCCGCACTGACTTTTTCGTAGATCTTATTGAGATACACCTGTGTGTCAAATTTTGTGTCATTTTGACAAAGCGTACAGGCGTGACACTCAACAATGTGTATTTTCACCTTAGGGGACAAGAAAAAATGGACTTTTTTCTCCTGCCATGGGGGGGCGCTCTTTTGGGGAGTAAAAATTCCTTCACAAATGTGTTGATGGCTGGACATTGCATCATCCTAGAAAACTTGGAGGCCAGTGAGGACAAAAATAAAAAGTTAGAAGACTTTTAAGAATATGGATTTTTGGGTTATCTTTGGCGCCCCCTAGAACCTAAACCGTGGGGTGCAGCGTCATGATTTGAATAACTTTTAATGGCCATGGGGTGTAGATTGGCCTGAGCAAATGTGGTGCCGGTGGAACGAAAGCCTTCGGAGGAGTTAGCGAAATTCCAATGTGTGTGGATCGGCAAAAAATGCGAAATAACCCTTTAACCGTACATTTGACAGATACGCCCGCACTGACTTTTTTGTAGATCTTATTGAGATACATATGTGTGTCAATTTTTGTGTCAATATGACAAAGCGTACAGTCGTGACAGTCAATAGTGTGAATTTCCACCTTAGGGGGCGCTATGGAGCCATTTTATATTTTATTGTTTGGGCGACTTCAGAATATCGAATTTTTCACCAGGCCCGGTCGTCCTGCCAAATTTCATGAGTTTTCGCCAGTGGGAAGTGGGCCATTTTCCAGTTCAAAGGGGAGGAAAAAGAAGAACTAGGGCCCCGTTGGGGCACTGGCGGGCCCGAGCCGTGTCACGCCGCCCCCAGCGCGACCGCCTCCCCCACCCGATCGCGTCACACTCAAGGTCCAAAGATGGTGTGCGCACTTGTTTGTGGTCATTTACCATTATAATGAACGGGAGGTGCAGTTTCTACCAAAACGCTCGCTGCAGAAAAACTCCATGTCCTATTTGAAAAAAGTCTGGACCATGAGTGAGGGCACAAACACAGCTAAGATATATCCAAATGGCAAGTTGCTCCTCCTTTCGCTTTTGCCGAGAGAGCAGTGCGTTTGAGCCATTGAATGATGAACAGGAAAAACTTGACTTTATTCTCCTGCCATGGGGGGGCGCTCTTTTAAAGAGAAAAAACTCCTTCACAAATGTGTTGATGGCTGGACATTGCATCATCCTAGAAAACATGGAGGCCAGTGAGGACAAAAATAAAAAGTTATAAGACTTTTAAATATGTGGATTTTAGGGTTATCTTTGGCGCCCCCTAGAACCTAAACCGTGGGGTGCAGCGTCATGATTTGAATAACTTTTAATGGCCATGGGGTGTAGATTGGCCTGAGCAAATGTGGTGCCGGTGGAACGAAAGCCTTCGGAGGAATTAGCGAAATTCCAATGTGTGCGAATCTGCAAAAAATGCGAAATAACCCTTTAACCGTACATTTTACAGATACGTGGCCATTGACTTTTTCGAAGATCTTATTGAAATACACGTGTATGTAGAATTTTGTGTCAATACGACAAAACATACAGGCGTAGCACTCAACAATGTGTATTTTCACCTTAGTGGACAAGAAAAAATTGACTTTTTTCTCCTGCCATGGGGGGGCGCTCTTTTGCCGAGTAAAAATTCATTCACAAATGTGTTGATGGCTGGACATTGCATCATCCTAGAAAACTTGGAGGCCAGTGGGGACAAAAATAAAAAGGTATAAGACTTTTTAATATGTGGATTTTACGGTTATCTTTGGCTCCTTCTAGAACCTAAACCGTGGGGTGCAGCGTCATGATTTGAATAACTTTTAATGGCCATGGGGTGTAGATTGGCCTGAGCAAATGTGGTGCCGGTTGAACGAAAGCCTTCGGAGGAGTTAGCGAAATTCCAATGTGTGCGGATCGGCAAAAAATGCGCAATAACCCTTTAACCGTACATTTGACAGATACGCGCGCATTGACTTTTTCGTAGATCTTATTGAGATACATGTGTGTGTCAATTTTTGTGTCATTTTGACAAAGCGTACAGGTGTTACACTCAACAATGTGTATTTTCACCTTAGGGGACAAGAAAAAATGGACTTTTTTCTCCTGCCATGGGGGGGCGCTCTTTTGGGGAGTAAAAATTCCTTCACAAATGTGTTGATGGCTGGACATTGCATCATCCTAGAAAACTTGGAGGCCAGTGAGGGCAAAAATAAAAAGTTATAAGACTTTTAAATATGTGGATCTTAGGGTTATCTTTGGCGCCCCCTAGAACCTAAACCGTGGGGTGCAGCGTCATGATTTGAATAACTTTTAATGGCCATGGGGTGTAGATTGGCCTGAGCAAATGTGGTGCCGTTGGAACGAAAGCCTTCGGAGGAGTTAGCGAAATTCCAATGTGTGCGGATCGGCAAAAAATGCGAAATAACCCTTTAACCGTACATTTGACAGATACGCGCGCATTGACTTTTTTGTAGATCTTATTGAGATACATGTGTGTGTCAATTTTTGTGTCATTTTGACAAAGCGTACAGGCGTGACAGTCAATAGTGTGAATTTTCACCTTAGGGGGCGCTATGGAGCCATTTTGCATTTTCTTGTTTGGGCGACTTCGGAATATCAAATTTTTCACCAGGCCCGGTCGTCCTGCCAAATTTCATGAGTGTTCGCCAGTGGGAAGTGGGCCATTTTCCAGTTCAAAGGGGAGGAAAAATAATAACTAGGACCCCGTTGGGGCACTGGCGGGCCCGAGCCGTGTCGCCCCCCCCCCCCCCCCCCCCCAACGTGCTGCCTCCCCGTCCCATTTGTGTCCTCTGGCCATCGCCCTCTCTGGTAACGCCCATCACTGCAAAGACCCTTTTCCTTCATCGGCGTTTGCTGTTCTTCCTGCCAGTGCGTGTTGCTTTCACTTACACTTGCCACAGCCAGCCTCGTGAGTGCCTAGCCTATTGGATATCACTGTCACCTACACAGGACAGTCATTACCTTTCTATTAATACTTTGTGTTTTAATTTCACATTAATTTCCATATTGTATAAACGACTGGAAAAAACTTGAGCCCCTGCCCCTGTATAATCATGTGCATGTCTCTGTTCTAGCACCAAGGTGAATCTTCACTGCTCATGTTCTCCTCAGAAGCACTCACCTCACTCCCCTCAGGTTATTGTACACATGCACCAACTGCCTGCTTCAGGTTTGGATGGAGCTTCATGGTTGTCTTTTGGAGAAATGACCAGTCAAGTTGTGTTTGAAATTTGATTTTTTTCAGGGGCAAAAGGAGCCTCTGCATTCTTGTCAAATATGTAAATAGCATGTTTTTGCAGGTGCTAAAAACCAGACTCTGAGTGTGTGTGTGTGTGTGTGTGTGTGTGTGTGTGTGTGTGTGTGTGTGTGTGTGTGTGTGTGTGTGTGTGTGTGTGTGTGTGTGTGTCTGTGTCTGTGTGTGCGTTCAAGTCACATGACATATTTAACCGGATGTAGCTGCAAGACGGAGCCTCGTTGACTCTCCGTTTCAACTTATCTCAAAAGTGAGGACCTCAACCTATATACCAGTTTTTAAATTGTGTTGATAGGCCAAATAAAACCAAAGTTATGATAAATTATGTCCGCGATACTTTTTTTCTGCTTATTTTGATCACGTTCGGCACTCGATCGCGCTGTATGAGACAGGAAAACATAGCATGCAGACATTAGCGACAGGTCTTACAGGCGGAAAAGGCTTGCCAAAAGAAAAAAAAAACACACCACAACATCTCTCCTATTGGTGGAAAACTTCACCACAACAACCAATCCAAAATTATATGGTGACTGAATGACAAGGGGCGGGCGCTTACGTTATTCCTGCAACATGAGAAGGGAGGGAGGGACTCTCAGCAGGGATGCAGTCTGGGACACGTAGTTGCAAACCTAGCGACTTTGTTGTTAGATTCAATGACTTTTCAGACCCCCTAACGACTTTTTTTTAGAAAGAAAGGGACTTTTATCGACTTCTTCTGGAGTTTAGAGACTCTGACATGAAGCAGGCTTTCCTTACTGAGGAGTTAGCAACGCTGCTAAGGGTGCAGAGCCACACATGCGCTCAGAGCTCTGCATGGGAGACTGAAGCTGACAGAGCTGCAGCAGTTAGCAGGTTTCACCCTCAGAGACCACCAGGGGTTCATGTTGAGGAATTTTAATTTTTTTCTTTTTTGTGCCATAGACACTGTCAGCACAATCTGCAGTTACACTAACAAAAATGCTGCAAAAAACAAAGAATTATGGAAAAATTACACATGGACTGACATAGAGGAGGATCTACACAAGTTTTTTACATCATGTTTTACATCATGCATCATTTACATCATGTTTTTTTGTAGTGGCATAAATAAAAAGTGACATTTGTGAGACTATACAGTGTTTTGTAAATAATTTTACAAAGAACGCCTGGGCCATTGCCTGCATTTTGATGTAAATAGAGGTAAATCACTATGTTCTTTGTTAAAAATTTGCATATGTTTTGAAGTTTACAATTTTTATTTGAAGTTTAAGTTTTAAAAACAGTTCATCACACCTATTTGTGGTTTTCACAGTAAAAATGTTACTTTTTTCCACTCGGATTTTATGTTTTGTGTGTGAATTTGGGTCCATTGTGTAAATTCAGTATGTCAACATGATAAAATAACTGTAAATTCGCACAGGTGAGGTTGTGCTGAAAAAAATGATACCAGGCAAGGCACGTGATTGTCAAATTTTGTGTCAATATGACAAAGCGTATAGGCGTGAATCTCAACAATATGTATTTTCACCTTAGGGGACAAGAAAAAATGGACTTTTTTCTCCTGCCATGGGGAGGCGCTCTTTTGGGGAGTAAAAATTCCTTCACAAATGTGTTGATGGCTGGACATTGCATCATCCTAGAAAACTTGGAGGCCAGTGAGGACAAAAATAAAAAGTTATAAGACTTTTAAATATGTGGATTTTAGGGTTGTCTTTGGCGCCCCCTAGAACCTAAACCGTGGGGTGCAGCGTCATGATTTGAATAACTTTTAATGGCCATGGGGTGTAGATTGGCCTGAGCAAATGTGGTGCCGGTGGACAGAAAGCCTTCGGAGGAGTTAGCGAAATTCCAATGTGTGCGGATCGGCAAAAAATGCGGAATAACCCTTTAACCGTACATTTGACAGATACGCGCGCATTGACTTTTTCGTAGATCTTATTGAGATACACGTGATTGTCAAATTTTGTGTCATTTTGACAAAGCGTATAGGCGTGACACTCAACAATGTGTATTTTCACCTTAGGGGACAAGAAAAAATGGACTTTTTTCTCCTGCCATGGGGGGGCGCTCTTTTGGGGAGTAAAAATTCCTTCACAAATGTGTTGATGGCTGGACATTGCATCATCCTAGAAAACTTGGAGGCCAGTGAGGACAAAATTAAAAAGTTATAAGACTTTTAAATATGTGGATTTTAGTGTTATCTTTGGCGCCCCCTAGAACCTAAACCTTGGGGTGCAGCGTCATGATTTTGATAACTTTTAATGGCCACGGGGTGTAGATTGGCCTGAGCAAATGTGGTGCCGGTGGAACGAAAGCCTTCGGAGGAGTTAGCGAAATTCCAATGTGTGCGGATCGGCAAGAAATGCGAAATAACCCTTTAACCGTAATTTTGACAGATACGGCCGCACTGACTTTTTTGTAGATCTTATTGAGATACATATGTGTGTCAATTTTTGTGTCAATATGACAAAGCGTACAGGCGTGACAGTCAATAGTGTGAATTTTCACCTTAGGGGGCGCTATGGAGCCATTTTGCATTTTATTGTTTGGGCGACTTCAGAATATCAAATTTTTCACCAGGCCCGGTCGTCCTGCCAAATTTCATGAGTTTTCGCCAGTGGGAAGTGGGCCATTTTCCAGTTCAAAGGGGAGGAAAAAGAAAAAGAAAGAAAGAAACAAAGAAAAACCACTTGGGGAATAATAGGGCCTACGCCCGGCTGCTCTGCAGCTGGCTCGGGCCCTAACTAGGACCCCGTTGGGGCACTGGCGGGCCCGAGCCGTGTCGCGTCCCCCCCCCAACGTGCTGCCTCCCCGTCCCATTTGTGTCCTCTGGCCATCGCCCTCTCTGGTAACGCCCATCACTGCAAAGACCCTTTTCCTTCATCGGCGTTTGCTGTTCTTCCTGCCAGTGCGTGTTGCTTTCACTTACACTTGCCACAGCCAGCCTCGTGAGTGCCTAGCCTATTGGATATCACTGTCACCTACACAGGACAGTCATTACCTTTCTATTAATACTTTGTGTTTTAATTTCACATTAATTTCCATATTGTATAAACGACTGGAAAAAACTTGAGCCCCTGCCCCTGTATAATCATGTGCATGTCTCTGTTCTAGCTCCAAGGTGAATCTTCACTGCTCATGTTCTCCTCAGAAGCACTCACCTCACTCCCCTCAGGTTACTGTACACATGCACCAACTGCCTGCTTCAGGTTTGGATGGAGCTTCATGGTTGTCTTTTGGAGAAATGACCAGTCAAGTTGTGTTTGAAATTTGATTTTTTTCAGGGGCAAAAGGAGCCTCTGCATTCTTGTCAAATATGTAAATAGCATGTTTTTGCAGGTGCTAAAAACCAGACTCTGAGTGTGTGTGTGTGTGTGTGTGTGTGTGTGTGTGTGTGTGTGTGTGTGTGTGTGTGTGTGTGTGTGCGTGTGTGTGTGTGCGTTCAAGTCACATGACATATTTAACCGGATGTAGCTGCAAGACGGAGCCTTGTTGACTCTCCGTTTCAACTTATCTCAAAAGTGAGGACCTCAACCTATATACCAGTTTTTAAATTGTGTTGATAGGCCAAATAAAACCAGAGTTATGATAAATTATGTCCGCGATACTTTTTTTCTGCTTATTTTGATCACGTTCGGCGCTCGATCGCGCTGTATGAGACAGGAAAACATAGCATGCAGACATTAGCGACAGGTCTTACAGGCGGAAAAGGCTTGCCAAAAGAAAAAAAAAACACACCACAACATCTCTCCTATTGGTGGAAAACTTCACCACAACAACCAATCCAAAATTATATGGTGACTGAATGACAAGGGGCGGGCGCTTACATTCTTCCTGCAACATGAGAAGGGAGGGAGGGACTCTCAGCAGGGATGCAGTCTGGGACACGTAGTTGCAAACCTAGCGACTTTGTTGTTAGATTCAATGACTTTTCAGACCCCCTAACGACTTTTTTTTAGAAAGAAAGGGACTTTTATCGACTTCTTCTGGAGTTTAGAGACTCTGACATGAAGCAGGCTTTCCTTACTGAGGAGTTAGCAACGCTGCTAAGGGTGCAGAGCCACACATGCGCTCAGAGCTCTGCATGGGAGACTGAAGCTGACAGAGCTGCAGCAGTTAGCAGGTTTCACCCTCAGAGACCACCAGGGGTTCATGTTGAGGAATTTTAATTTTTTCCTTTTTTTTGCCATAGACACTGTCAGCACAATCTGCAGTTACACTAACAAAAATGCTGCAAAAAACAAAGAATTATGGAAAAATTACACATGGACTGACATAGAGGAGGATCTACACAAGTTTTTTACATCATGTTTTACATCATGCATCATTTACATCATGTTTTTTTGTAGTGGCATAAATAAAAAGTGACATTTGTGAGACTATACAGTGTTTTGTAAATAATTTTAAAAAGAACGCCTGGGCCATTGCCTGCATTTTGATGTAAATAGAGGTAAATCACTATGTTCTTTGTTAAAAATTTGCATATGTTTTGAAGTTTACAATTTTTATTTGAAGTTTAAGTTTTAAAAACAGTTCATCACACCTATTTGTGGTTTTCACAGTAAAAATGTTACTTTTTTCCACTCGGATTTTATGTTTTGTGTGTGAATTTGGGTCCATTGTGTAAATTCAGTATGTCAACATGATAAAATAACTGTAAATTCGCACAGGTGAGGTTGTGCTGAAAAAAATGATACCAGGCAAGGCACGTGATTGTCAAATTTTGTGTCAATATGACAAAGCGTATAGGCGTGAATCTCAACAATATGTATTTTCACCTTAGGGGACAAGAAAAAATGGACTTTTTTCTCCTGCCATGGGGGGGCGCTCTTTTGGGGAGTAAAAATTCCTTCACAAATGTGTTGATGGCTGGACATTGCATCATCCTAGAAAACTTGGAGGCCAGTGAGGACAAAAATAAAAAGTTATAAGACTTTTAAATATGTGGATTTTAGGGTTGTCTTTGGCGCCCCCTAGAACCTAAACCGTGGGGTGCAGCGTCATGATTTGAATAACTTTTAATGGCCATGGAGTGTAGATTGGCCTGAGCAAATGTGGTGCCGGTGGACAGAAAGCCTTCGGAGGAGTTAGCGAAATTCCAATGTGTGCGGATCGGCAAAAAATGCGGAATAACCCTTTAACCGTACATTTGACAGATACGCGCGCATTGACTTTTTCGTAGATCTTATTGAGATACACGTGATTGTCAAATTTTGTGTCAATATGACAAAGCGTATAGGCGTGACACTCAACAATGTGTATTTTCACCTTAGGGGACAAGAAAAAATGGACTTTTTTCTCCTGCCATGGGGGGGCGCTCTTTTGGGGAGTAAAAATTCCTTCACAAATGTGTTGATGGCTGGACATTGCATCATCCTAGAAAACTTGGAGGCCAGTGAGGACAAAAATAAAAAGTTATAAGACTTTTAAATATGTGGATTTTAGTGTTATCTTTGGCGCCCCCTAGAACCTAAACCGTGGGGTGCAGCGTCATGATTTGAATAACTTTTAATGGCCATGGGGTGTAGATTGGCCTGAGCAAATGTGGTGCCGGTGGAACGAAAGCCTTCGGAAGAGTTAGCGAAATTCCAATGTGTGCGGATCGGCAAAAAATGCAAAATAACCCATTAACCGTACATTTGACAGATACGCCCGCACTGACTTTTTTGTAGATCTTATTGAGATACATGTGTGTGTCAATTTTTGTGTCATTTTGACAAAGCGTACAGGCGTCATGTGAATTTTCACCTTAGGGGGCGCTATGGAGCCATTTTGCATTTTCTTGTTTGGGCGACTTCCGAATATCAAATTTTTCACCAGGCCCGGTCGTCCTGCCAAATTTCATGAGTTTTCGCCAGTGGGAAGTGGGCCATTTTCCAGTTCAAAGGGGAGGAAAAAGAAAAAAGAAACAAAGAAAAACCACTTGGGGAATAATAGGGCTCTCGCAGCTGCTTAGCAGCTACGCTCGGGCCCTAATAACTAGGGCCCCGGTGGGGCACTGTCGGGCCCGAGCCGCGTCGCGCCGCCCCCAGTGCGACCGCCTCCCCGTCCGGATCGAGTCACACTCAAGAACCAAAGATGGTGTGCGCACTTGTCTGTGGTCATTTCCCATTATAATGAATGGGAGGCGCAGTTTCTACCAAAACACTCGCTGCAGACAAACTTCATGTCCTATTTGAAAAAAGTCTGGACCATGAGTGAGGGCACAAACACAGCTATGATATATCGAAATGCCAGGTTGCTCCTCCTTACGGTGTTGCCTGGAGAGCGATGCGATTGAGCCATTGAGCGATGGGCAGGAAAAACTTGACTTTTTCTCCCTGCCATAGGGGGGGGGATGTGGATTCTTTTAAGAATGTGGATTTTTGGGTCATCTTTGGCGCCCCCTAGAACGTAAACCGTGGGGTGCAGCGTCATGATTTTTACAACTTTGAATGGCCATGGGGTGTAGATTGGCCTGAGCAAATTTGGTGTCAGTGGGACGAAAGCCTTAGGAGGAGTTAGCCACATTCCAATGTGTGCGAATCGGCAAAAAATGCAAAATAGCCCTTTAACCGTACATTTGACAGATACGCGCGAATTGACTTTTTTGTAGATCTTATTGAGATACATATGTGTGTCAATTTTTGTGTCAATATGATAAAGCGTACAGGCGTGACAGTCAATAGTGTGAATTTCCACCTTAGGGGACAAGAAAAAATTGACTTTTTTCTCCTGCCATGGGGGGGCGCTCTTTTGGCGAGTAAAAATTCCTTCACAAATGTGTTGATGGCTGGACATTGCATCATCCTAGAAAACTTGGAGGCCAGTGAGGACAAAAATAAAAAGTTATAAGACTTTTAAGACTGTGGATTTTTGGGTTATCTTTGGCGCCCCCTAGAACCTAAACCGTGGGATGCAGCGTCATGATTTGAATAACTTTTAATGGCCATGGGGTGTAGATTGGCCTGAGCAAATGTGGTGCCGGTGGAACGAAAGCCTTCGGAGGAGTTAGCGAAATTCCAATGTGTGCGTATCGGCAAAAAATGCGGAATAACCCTTTAACCGTACATTTGACAGATACGCGCTCATAGACTTTTTTGTAGATCTTATTGAGATACATGTGTGTGTCAATTTTTGTGTCATTTTGCCAAAGCGTAAAGGCGTGACACTCAACAATGTGTATTTTCACCTTAGGGGTCAAGAAAAAATTGACTTTTTTCTCCTGCCATGGGGGGGCGCTCTTTTGGCGAGTAAAAATTCCTTCACAAATGTGTTGATGGCTGGACATTGCATCATCCTAGAAAACTTGGAGGCCAGTGAGGACAAAAATAAAAAGTTATAAGACTTTTAAATATGTGGATTTTAGGGTTATCTTTGGCGCCCCCTAGAACCTAAACCGTGGGATGCAGCGTCATGATTTGAATAACTTTTAATGGCCATGGGGTGTAGATTGGCCTGAGCAAATGTGGTGCCGGTGGAACGAAAGCCTTCGGAGGAGTTAGCGAAATTCCAATGTGTGCGGATCGGCAAAAAATGCGGAATAACCCTTTAACCGTACATTTGACAGATACGCGCGCATTGACTTTTTCGTAGATCTTATTGAGATACATGTGTGTGTCAATTTTTGTGTCATTTTGCCAAAGCGTACAGGTGTTACACTCAACAATGTGTATTTTCACCTTTGGGGACAAGAAAAAATTGACTTTTTTCTCCTGCCATGGGGGGGCGCTCTTTTGGGGAGTAAAAATTCCTTCACAAATGTGTTGATGGCTGGACATTGCATCATCCTAGAAAACTTGGAGGCCAGTGAGGGCAAAAATAAAAAGTTATAAGACTTTTAAATATGTGGATCTTAGGGTTATATTTGGCGCCCCCTAGAACCTAAACCTTGGGGTGCAGCGTCATGATTTGAATAACTTTTAATGGCCATGGGGTGTAGATTGGCCTGAGCAAATGTGGTGCCGGTGGAACGAAAGCCTTCGGAGGAGTTAGCGAAATTCCAATGTGTGCGGATCGGCAAAAAATGCGAAATAACCCTTTAACCGTACATTTGACAGATACGCCCGCACTGACTTTTTTGTAGATCTTACTGAGATACATGTGTGTGTCAATTTTTGTGTCATTTTGACAAAGCGTACAGGCGTGACAGTCAATAGTGTGAATTTTCACCTAAGGGGGCGCTATGGAGCCATTTTGCATTTTCTTGTTTGGGCGACTTCGGAATATCAAATTTTTCACCAGGCCCGGTCGTCCTGCCAAATTTCATGAGTTTTCGCGGGTGGGAAGTGGGCCATTTTCCAGTTCAAAGGGGAGGAAAAATAATAACTAGGGCCCCGTTGGGGCACTGGCGGGCCCGAGCCATGTCACGCCGCCCTCAGCGCGACCGCCTCCCCCACCCGATCGCGTCACACTCAAGGTCCAAAGATGGTGTGCGCACTTGTTTGTGGTCATTTACCATTATAATGAACGGGAGGCGCAGTTTCTACCAAAACGCTCGCTGCAGAAAAACTCCATGTCCTATTTGAAAAAAGTCTGGGCCATGAGTGAGGGCACAAACACAGCTAAGATATATCCAAATGGCAAGTTGCTCCTCCTTTCGCTTTTGCCGAGAGAGCAGTGCGTTTGAGCCATTGAATGATGAACAGGAAAAACTTGACTTTATTCTCCTGCCATGGGGGGGTGCTCTTTTAACGAGAAAAAACTCCTTCACAAATGTGTTGATGGCTGGACATTGCATCATCCTAGAAAACATGGAGGCCAGTGAGGACAAAAATAAAAAGTTATAAGACTTTTAAATATGTGGATTTTAGGGTTATCTTTGGCGCCCCCTAGAACCTAAACCGTGGGGTGCAGCGTCATGATTTGAATAACTTTTAATGGCCATGGGGTGTAGATTGGCCTGAGCAAATGTGGTGCCGGTGGAACGAAAGCCTTCGGAGGATTTAGCGAAATTCCAATGTGTGCGAATCTGCAAAAAATGCGAAATAACCCTTTAACCGTACATTTTACAGATACGTGGCCATTGACTTTTTCGAAGATCTTATTGAAATACACATGTATGTAAAATTTTGTGTCAATACGACAAAACATACAGGCGTAGCACTCAACAATGTGTATTTTCACCTTAGTGGACAAGAAAAAATGGACTTTTTTCTCCTGCCATGGGGGGCGCTCTTTTGGCGAGTAAAAATTCCTTCACAAATGTGTTGATGGCTGGACATTGCATCATCCTAGAAAACTTGGAGGCCAGTGGGGACAAAAATAAAAAGTTATAAGACTTTAAAATATGTGGATTTTACGGTTATCTTTGGCGCCCCCTAGAACCTAAACCGTGGGGTGCAGCGTCATGATTTGAATAACTTTTAATGGCCATGGGGTGTAGATTGGCCTGAGCAAATGTGGTGCCGGTGGAACGAAAGCCTTCGGAGGAGTTAGCGAAATTCCAATGTGTGCGGATCTGCAAAAAATGCGGAATAACCCTTTAACCGTACATTTGACAGATACGCGCGCATTGACTTTTTCGTAGATCTTATTGAGATACATGTGTGTGTCAATTTTTGTGTCATTTTGCCAAAGCGTACAGGTGTTACACTCAACAATATGTATTTTCACCTTAGGGGACAAGAAAAAATGGACTTTTTTCTCCTGCCATGGGGGGGCGCTCTTTTGGGGAGTAAAAATTCCTTCACAAATGTGTTGATGGCTGGACATTGCATCATCCTAGAAAACTTGGAGGCCAGTGAGGGCAAAAATAAAAAGTTATAAGACTTTTAAATATGTGGATCTTAGGGTTATCTTTGGCGCCCCCTAGAACCTAAACCGTGGGGTGCAGCGTCATGATTTGAATAACTTTTAATGGCCATGGGGTGTAGATTGGCCTGAGCAAATGTGGTGCCGGTGGAAAGAAAGCCTTTGGAGGAGTTAGCGAAATTCCAATGTGTGCGGATCGGCAAAAAATGCGGAATAACCCTTTAACCATACATTTGACAGATACGCCCGCACTGACTTTTTTGTAGATCTTATTGAGATACATATGTGTGTCAATTTTTGTGTCATTTTGACAAAGCGTAAAGGCGTGACAGTCAATAGTGTGAATTTTCACCTTAGGGGGCGCTATGGAGCCATTTTGCATTTTCTTGTTTGGGCGACTTCGGAATATCAAATTTTTCACCAGTCCCGGTCATCCAACCAAATTTCATGAGTTTTCGCCAGTGGGAAGTGGGCCATTTTCCAGTTCAAAGGGGAGGAAAAAGAAGAAAGAAAGAAAGAACTAGGACCCCGGTGGGGCACTGTCGGGCCCGAGCCGCGTCGCGCCGCCCCCAGCGCGACCGCCTCCCCCTCCCGATCGCGTCACACTCAAAGTCCAAAGATGGTGTGCGCACTTGTCTGTGGTCATTTCCCATTATAATGAATGGGAGGCGCAGTTTCTACCAAAACACTCGCTGCAGACAAACTTCATGTCCTATTTGAAAAAAGTCTGGACCATGAGTGAGGGCACAAACACAGCTAGGATATATCCAAATGGCAGGTTGCTCCTCGTTACGGTGTTGCCGGGAGAGTGATGCGATTGAGCCATTGAGTGATGGGCAGGAAAAACTTGACTGTTTCTCCTGCCATGGGGGTTGGGGGATGGGGGGGGGGATGTGGATTCTTTTAAGAATGTGGATATTTGGGTCATCTTTGGCGCCCCCTAGAACGTAAACCGTGGGGTGCAGCGTCATGATTTTGATAACTTTTAATGGCCACGGGGTGTAGATTGGCCTGAGCAAATGTGGTGCCGGTGGAACGAAAGCCTTCGGAGGAGTTAGCGAAATTCCAATGTGTGCGAATCGGCAAAAAATGCAAAATAGCCCTTTAACCGTACATTTTACAGATACACGCGCATTGACTTTTTCGTAGATCTTATTGAGATACATGTGATT